TGGGTGGGAAATGCCTGGTGGAGAGCTCTGGGGCTGGGAAGGGAGCTTGAATTTTACTACAGGGAGAATCCACTGGGGAACAATGGCAGGGACACTGCCTTTGATTGATAGGTAGCTGGTGACCTCGGGGAAGGGCTTTTCAGTCAGGGACAGTCACTGGGTCTTTGGGGCTCCATTTCCTCATCTACAAATGGGGCTAAGAATCCTGGAATCTCAGAGAGTTGCGGGAATGGGCTGAGGTAGTCTCTGTGCACACTAGGACAGTGCCCTGCACAGGAGAGTGTGATGTAAGTGTGACCATTGCATTTGTGCCCTGACTACCTCCTGGAGAATATCCTGGGCTGGAGAGGACCAGTCAGGCGGCTGCTGCTGCAGAGTCCAGGCATACACATAGGGGTCATAGATGGCACCAGCCAGCCCTGATTCCCTGGTGGCCTGAAGAGGCCCTTGGTCCTATGAGGGAGGCCAGTGAGGGCAAGGAAGGCTGATCAGTGGGGGATGGGTCCTGAGGTGCCTAGCAGTGACACAAGGGCAGAGATGCAGGCTCCAAGCAGCACTGAGGGGCAGGAACCACGGTGCTGAGATCCCAAGGAGGAGAGTACAGGGTGTGTAGGGAGGAGCGGGTCCTTCAGATGGGGAGGTGGAGGGGGCTGCCTAGGGGAGAGGAAGGAGGGGCTAGGAGCCTGCAGGAGGCCGAGGACTTTCTGCATGGGGTGTGAGCACAAGGCCTCTCTGCCCAGGTGGCGATCATATGCAAAGCCCAGTGCTACAGGGTGACTGTGAATGGTCAGCACCTGCTGGTATACGCCCACCGCCTGAAGGACCTGCGGACCATCAGTCACCTGGAAGTAGACGGCGATATTGTGCTTGCTGATGTACAGGTCTAGATGGGCTCAAGAGCTCAGTGAAGGGCTGGGGACATGGCTCTCTGTGCCTCCTGCCTGTCCTCTGCCCTTCTCAATCCCAGCTTCTTTTCATCTGTATGTGACATGAGGGATTAATCTCTGGGCCTTGCATTTGCCAGGCACATGCTCATGAGCCTTCCATGTACCAGCCCAGGCCTATGCTGCATAAGGCCCTCAAACACCTTCCTGTCCTCTGTGCAACCCACGCTAGTCCCAAGCCACAGCTATGCAAAGGATGGCCCAGGTGCCCTCCACAGCCCCCATTCCTGTGACCTTCACCTTCTCTCCCTGGCTTTGCACCCTGATGCAACACTGCTCCCTGTGGGGAGGCTGCCTGGTGAGATCCTGCTGGCTTCCACCCACCAAGCAGAGCTTTCTCAGCACCAGGCACTGCCCATTCCTGGCATATTTAAAATAAAGAAAGAACGATGCTGTTGTCGGCATACACTTGTCAGATGAATGCATTAGTAGTGTGTTTAGACACATGCTGGAGTCTGGATTTGGGGTTCCCTGCCAAGAACGTGGGATGGGACAGCACAGGTTCCCTTTGGAAGGGTCCTGTCATCCATACTGACTCCCAGGGGGTCCCTCACAAAGCCCACAGGGGTGCTGGAGAAAGCACCTGGGTGCACACGCTGCTGGCCCGGCTTCTAATGCAGGAATACTGGTGGCTCAGTGAGCCTGGGAAACATTTCCACGCTACTGAGAGGAGATAAGGCTGGGACACTGTGGGTGGGAGTCAGGAGAGAGCCAAGAAGCCTGATGATCTGTGCCTGAGTAGGAGGGGAGCTAACATGAGGAGTGGGGGTGCAAAGGCTAAGTACCCCAGTACCAGGATCTGCTGATGTTGAGGAAGCATAAGGGAGCCCAGGTAAGTGTCCTTGTGATGCCAGTCACCTGCTAACTCCTTGGAGAGCCTGGTCCCTCAGGAACTAGCTTAGGGCTCGCAGTGTGGTCCTTGGGCAGCAGGAACCCAGGGAACTGCTTAGGATGTACAGTCTCAGGCCCCACCCCAGGTCTACAAAGGAGAATCTGTACTTTAGCCAAACCCAGGGGAGTGTGTGTGTGTGTGTGTGTGTGTGTGTCTTTGTTTCTGTGTGCTGGTGAGCAGCCCTGGTCTAGGCAGCTGGGATCTTGGCCACAGCATGCCATCTCCTTTCTCCTGCTCTGGGGCCAAAGCTGTCCTGTGTTGCTGAGCCCATTCTGTGTCTCCCCAGTGGAGCAGCTGCTGCCAAAGCAGGACAGCCAGGAGAAGTGAAGCCAGGGATGGAACCTGGGAGCTGAGGAACAATGTGGAGCCAGGCCAGCCTTGGCCAGGCAGCCCGTTCCCCCTCCTAGGTGCCTTCCTTGGTTCTGAGCAGGAGACAGCTCTGTCTCCTATCAGCCCTCCTAGCTGGCTTCATACCCACAAGACCCCCCATCTCTCAGGCAGGCCAGGATTCTGGGTTCCCTTCACCCTATAGGAGGTCACATCTGACTTTCCCCAGTGCCACATCTCCACTGTCCAAACCTCACAAAATACATAGCAAGAGAGAAAAACCTGTGGCCTAACTCTGTCCCTGTTTTGGATAAGGACAATGCTCCACAAGCTGTCAGTTCAAAGAACCCAGGGCCTGGCTGTTCTCCTTGGGGTGATTCATCCAGGTGCTGTGAGACCCCACTCAATGTATGACTTGGAGCAGCTCTTGCTACAAAAATGGGACACACACACACACACACACACACACACACACACACACACTATGGTTAACATAAAATGAATTTTTTGTAAATATTTCCATTAAGGAATTATACAAGGGAGGCTCAAGTCACCCTGTCTCTAAAAACAGAGAAGAGTGTTTTCAATACAGAAGCATAAATGCTGTTCTAGAGCAGCTAATCAGAAACTGCATCAATGTCACCTCCTGATCAACTTTCAAAGTGGGCATTTCCAGTGGCTTCTGTGTTCCTATCTTTCAGGTGCTAGCCTGGCTCTGTCTTTACCTGCACGTGGCCAGGGCATGAAGGCTGAAGGTAGACCCAGCCAGGGCAGGACTCTGCTTGTCAGTCAAGCGGTGGAGTCCACTGCTTCTGTGCAGGGGCTGGCTGTGGTCACGTTAATCCCTCTCCAAGGCCCGTGACCTTCACTCCAGAGTTGCCTCCATCCCCAGCATGCTCAGCACCAGCAGCTTCCTCTTCCCTGTGGGTCCCCAGAGCTGGATGTCGCCTGTGGCTGCTCTGCCAGGTCCCTGTTCACCTCTGAGGGAAGGATGGCACCAAAGGTCTTCCTGACAGCACTTCTGGCTCTTAAGAAAAACGGAGGCTAGATGTCAGCTCTGAAGTCCTCAGGCAGTGCCTGGGTTACACCACTAAATGACCTGAGCCCCAGGTGAGAAAGCTGTTTTCCTGTCAAGGATCTCTGAAGCTCTCTGGTGACCTGGAGAAGAAAGGATCTGGTTGGCCACACCCACCCCAGCCTTGGGGTCCTCCCTCCCCTGCTGCCTCAGACTGCAGCTGTGGGCCAACAACATTACCCATGGGGCATTTCCTAGCTCTTCTCCCTTCTCATTGTTGTAAATGTATGGGTGAAAAACTCATTTGGCCAGGTCTGTGTCCATTCCTGGGCACTCAGCACACTCGTACTGCTGTCCCCATCTCCTGCAAGCACCCCCACATCCTTTCCCATCTTCCCCCAGAGGAGCTGTATCCACTCAACACGCTCCCCTTTCCCTCCCTCCTGGGATATGTTATACTTTTTGTGCTGACTTTTTGAGTTCATAGCTTTGAAGGATTACTATTTTTTTAACATTTTAAAAAGGTCTTTTATTTATTTACTTAACACAGGGTCTTGCTACACAGCTCAGACTCATAGTGATCCTCCTATCTCAGCCTCCCTATTGCTGGAATTAGAGGTATACACCACCACTCCCAATTTTGGTAGCTGGCATGGCAATCCTGGGCTTCCAGGGCCAGCACAACATGTAGTACTGGGGATCAAACCTGGGTCTTTGCACTTATAAGGTAGGTGCTTAGACTGCTGAGCTATCTTGCCAGCTGATTGAAGGATTATTATTATTATTACTTTATTATTATGTTTAGTACAGAATGTACAGGGTCTCCCTTCACAGATTGGACTGGTAGTGATTTTCCTGTTTTCAGCCTCCCAGTGCTGGGATTACAGGTGTACCCCACCATGCCCAGTTTCAATCGCCATGTAGCGTGCCCCAGGGGCAAGGTTAGCAGGGCATTCTGAAAATTGAACCCTGGCAGAAGCTACAGGGAGTCCAGAAAGAGACAGAGTCTGACACCACCAGCCACAGTGGCTGTGAGCACTCAGAATGCAGGCAAGGCACAAATCCGGATGTCTGCTGCCCCCTGGGGTCTCACTCTGCGCTTCCAGGAACACCAGGGTGGTCTCCAGGAAGGGAAGCTCCCAGTGTCCATGGTGACCCCGTGACTTCCACTCTCGTGTCCAACGTGGATGGCAGATTCTGATCCCACCCCCTGTGGAAGGAGCTTGAAGCTTGCACTCCTTGCCTCTGCAGTTTCTGGGCCGGAGGCAGAGCTGCCCGAGATGCACGCTGCAGTTGCCACTTGCCCGCTCCTCAGCGGTGACCCCACACGGCTTGTGGTTCTAGTATTTCAGTCAATCCTTTATTACATTTCTAAATATTTTAATTTTTGTACTCCCTGTAGTTTTATTTATTTCATCTGCTTCTTCAAGTAAAATTGTACTTCAAAATATTTATTTTTATATTTTGGACTCACCCTGTGTCTTGGTGTAGGTAATTCTTCCAAATACTATTTTCATGTCCTGACTTGTAAAAAAAAAATTTTTCTTTTTTGAACATGCCATGAGATTGTTTTTTCATTGCAATTTCTATGAGCAACAGGCTGAAGGCCTTGATGTGAACAACTTTTTCTGAGCTGTTACTGTGTGACACTTGTTGCATTTCTGGAACCTGAAGATTTGGGAACGTCCTGATGGATTTCTGAAAGTTTACTTCCCTCCATCCCTAGAGTCTGTCATGGGCCCTTCATTAAACAGTCATGCCTCTCCCCTGACTCAGATCCACTGTGCACCATCTTTCCCTTCAGCCTTAACTTGATGATCCCAAATTTAGGGCAGGCATCCACCTGGAGTTTCTCTTTGTTCATTAAAACAAAAAGTGGCAGGTGTGTGCCCAGGTCTGCAGTCCCAGCGCTTGGGAAGCTGTCTCCGTAGCTCTGCTGTGTCAGCCACCTCCAGGGAGGTCGCATCTGGACTCTCCCCAGCTCCCCTCATGCCCTAGCCTAGTGGTCTATGCTGGATATTACAGGAAAACACACATACCCACACTCGTGTGCACTCACACACAGCAGAACTGTTGGATGAGACAGCTCTGTCAGGACTGATTGACTGTATTTGTGACACTCACTGGTTTATGACACCAGACAGTTGAGAGTCTGCGGAGCCCTGGGCGCACCTCACTCCGCTGTATCAGGGTGCTCCTAGTATTGAAGCTGACCTTGTCCAACCCAGTTGAAGTTCTTCATTACAGAAAACAGGAAGTCGTGGGACACAGTTCGCGTCCCAGGAAGGCCCCTTCCGCAGCGGAGCCCAGTGCACCTGTCCCTGGCTGGGTCATGAGCTGAGTTTCCCTCCTCTGCCTCCTGGCTTCTAGGCTCAGCTCTTTGCCCAGTGACTGGTCTTTTCCACAAGAATATATGACCTTTCCCATGGCTCCCAACTCCCTGCGATTCCTGCTGGTGCTGAGGAGATCATCCGACTCTCCCGCATGGAGCAGGATGCTGCAGACAGGCCCTGGCTGCTTCAGCTCTGTTGTCCTCATGCGGCCTCCTTCCACAACTCTGCTCTACATTCCGAAGGACCACTTGCTCTTCAGCACCTGAGAGACTCTGGCAGAGCCCTGCCCTTCCTGGGGTACACAGCACAGTCACACCAGTCCCTCTTCCTTGTGACACATGATGTTTGGTCCTGTGGAGGGAAGCTGCTCACTGGAGAAGCATGGAGGTGACAGGAGAGGCGTTCAGTGGTCAGCAGTTCAGACACTCTGGCTGGGTTGCCTGGTCTGAGTGCCAGTGTTGACATGATCCTTCATGTGACCTTGGCTAATGTGCTGCCCCTTGCTGTGTCTTCACATCTTCCCACATAGAATGGACTAAATTAACTGTCGCTCATTAATAAGGGTCACAAGGAATTAAATGCAAGGCATCCAGAAAGGTGCAACTTGAACATGTAATCAACACACTTTATTTCTTCTTTAACAACAACAAAATTCAGTGTGCTTCCTCTCCCCACACCCTCACAGCCCCAGCTTGATGTTGTCCCTGTACAATATGAGCTTCTTAAACCCAGGTCTTCCTCGTGCACGGAGCCTGGCAGGAGCCCAGCACTTGGTGATGACTGTGGCCGTCACTGTACTTCTCAGACGCTTCTGGTCTCCTGCTCTCTTCTCAATTC